GTGTGTGTGTGTGTGTGTGTGTGTGTGTGTGTGTGTGTGAGAGAGAGAGAGAGAGAGAGAGAGAGAGAGAGAGAGAGAGAGAGAAACTATACATTCCTAGAGATCTGTGAACTGAGTTTCCACCTTTTCTCCTCAGTGAGCCTGCATTCAACATCTTACAGCAAGAGCAAGGCATACCATAAACAATATTTAAAATGCCCGAGAGACTAGAAAGGGAGAATAGAAACTTAATATGCAAGAACAAATAATTATAATGGCAGGGAAGGGGCATCTGGGAGAGCAGTATACTGTTGGAACCATCTCTGCTAAATCTCATCTCCTTCCATCTGATATGAATCTCATCTCCAGACAGAAAGGCTTGGAAAAGGACAATTGCCAGTCACTTCAGAAAAGGGATAGGAATCTGTAGGTGCCCTCTAGTTGTTTTGGACTGCAACTCCTATAGGCCCAGATCATTGGCTTTGCTTGCTGGGACTGATGGAAATCATAGTCCTAAATATTTAGAGGGCACCAGGTTGCCTACCCATGCCTTGCAGTGTAATCAGGATCAAATGGGAAAAGGTGATCCATGAGGAACTTGGACCCAAACAATTTGGGGCACTGAAAAAGGTAACTGCCGGCATTTGGAATTTGGAATTAAATAATCAGCCAGTGAAACTCTTTTAGTACTGGGGAGACAAAGTGCGGAGGAGGTGTCATTGTCAACATGTTGGCAGCTGCATTTTGTGCTAATGAGAGTATTGGAACCCTCTTCACAGGCAGATTGACAGTCTGATTTAACACTCAGACAAGCAGACATGGGGAAATTAATGGAAAAGGCTCAACAGTTAATTATTAGTGAGCTCCTGAGACAGATACTGAGCTCACTAATGCTCTATTTAGTCCTTGTTGAATCTGGAAACAACAACATGGTTAGGCAGCCTTACACCCTATTAACAGTGTTTTTCTCATGTGAGCATCATTATATTTGAAAGAAAGCATCTTCTCATATATAGACTTTGTGCTTCAGCAAGAAACTAGATATTCCAGTGTTCTTGATCCCATGTAAAGCATACACATGAGCATATGAGAGAATATGAGGAGCAAGAGAGCTTAATTTGCCCAGCATGTCCGTGGATTACAGTATTAATGAAGTATTATGTTCTCCTCCTCACACAAAATGCCAAGCTTCATTTTGCTTTATGTTTGCTCCAATGCAGAATTTTTTTCATGGAGGGGAGAGACAAGCTAAGAAACATGTCTAAGATTATTCAGGATCTGACATTTGGCTAGAAGACTTCAGAATCATAACATATTTTAAAAAAGAACAACTCCTGAAGCAAACTCTGGATATTTTTGATAGGTAACTGGAGCCTTAATTCACTATTCTTTCTAATGAGGTCTCTGCAGACCAATTTAAAGAGGCATGCCATCTATGATATGATGCTTAAAGTACTCATGATCAAACAAGCACTTTGAAGAAAGGTACCATGGCTAACCAGAACACACAGTGGTTGCCCAAGCATTGTGTTTCAATGGCACAAACTGTGCAGCAGATCCAAATGGATGGCCTTTGTGGTGAAGGAATACCTTGCTGCGACATATTTTCCCATACATCTGAGCAAAAAAGTGAGAAGGAAAATAAAGAGACTATTTTGCCACCAGAAAGCTGTAGATCTGCAGGCAATTCTACTCTTGTGAAGATGCATATGTCTCAGCTGTTGTGTACATTCTAGTGTAAGGGAGTACTGGGTCCCTTGTTGGGAGAAATGTGCAATAATAATAATAATAATAATAATAATAATAATGATGATGATGATGATGATGATGATGATGATGATGATGATGATGATGGAAGCAGATGACATAGTGCACACAAAAGTTAAAGAACTGACAGAAAGGGAATGTATCAAAAGATTGTAGAAAATATTTTAGGAGCAAAAGGTACATTGTCCATTCTGATGTAGAAGCAACTGAAGTATTCCTTGTGATACCATACTTAATTGCATTTTTATACTTTTACAGCACTTTTCTAACTATTCCAAGATGATTTCTACAACAATAAAATTACAGTTTTAAAGCAAACAAAATACGAACAACAGTATCAAATCTT